TCACTTGTACCTTCTTTGAATGGAGAAGGCAAAGAGTGGAAAGGAAACGCCTAACTGCTTCCCAACCTCTGGTCTAGAGGAAAGGACACGGTGAGGAGGCCAGGCTTATGCTCAAGTACATGAGACTGCTACCTTACATGATTTCTTTTAAAAAGCTCGGGTGCACCCCTCCACCACTGATTAAAAAGGCAGCAACCGCTCAATATAAAAAAAGTTTCACCCACTGGGGCCATCTGAAAGGTCTTCTCTTTGATATTTCAGAGAAATGGACTTAAACATTTTTAAAGAAAAGTTTTCAAAATGAATCCATGTGTTACAGGAGGGAATAAGCTGATTAAGAGGCAGGACAGAACTAGGACTACATGCTTTATTCGAACATCCCTGTAATGATTACCTTTGACATTTGAAAACATGGGGTTATGTCCTTGGAATTACCTTTCTGTCCCGGCTCCCTGTGAAGAAGTACTTGCCATCGGGACTCCAATCACAAGACCAAATAATTCTGCTGTGCACTGCAGTGACTTTGTTCGTGAAGGCAAAGAGAATGAAAACCGGCTCTGAAAGAAACACGGACCCAATAGTCACCACGCAGAGAAGCAGAGTTGTTTTCTTAAAAAATCTTTTATACCATTTAAAAATAGTACGTGTGAATGCCATGTTCACCATGTGACGGAGTCATCAATTTATAAAGCCAGACTTTAACCAGAGAACAAATCCAGGTGACTGACCCCTCACCGGAAGATCGTGGGCACAATATTTTGTCCACTCTCCAGGGATGGATGACGAGCACTCAGACCCTCAATTAAAGGATCAATGGATGCCTACTGACGAAGTCTTACGTAGGAATAAGCCTGATTTGCATATTGAACTATCAAAAAAATTAATGCACCAGCTAAATAACATAAAACCAAACCAAACTCTTCCTTCATATGATTTAAATGTAAGATTAAGCCATCACATGACCTACACTTACAGCATATTAACTTCTTTCAAGGAGGGAAGGACAAGCCATCCAATAATCTATAACCCATAGAGACACAGCATTGTAAAAATGTTGTCATCACCGTAACATTTTAAAAAGTAAATGTTTCATGTTAAGAAATCACTACTGGAGTGAAATGAAATAGTCTAATATGTTGGAGTTGGTACTCTTTAAAATGCGACGCAAGACGTTTTCTGGTTTTAATTATCAGGTGTAGAATGCAGGCTTAACTGGGTTAATCTATGGCCCAGGGATCATGCTATCCAGCCTGGAACCATCTTCCTAATCTATGAAAGTAACAGGTCTGAGTAGGAAAAGACTAAGGGCCCTCCTGTCCCCTTTAGGTTTCCAATTTTAAAATATTTCTACATTTGTAAAATAATTCTTAAAAGAGGGGAAAAAACTGTCATTCTTAAGTTTCCCCAATGGAACCTTCATGAGTCCTGACTCATAGATTTCTAGCTCAGAATATGCCATCCACATGGTTCTGTGGTGCCAACTGGTTTTGTGAAAACATTTGCAAATAGACATTTTCCACAAACAGAATTTCTTTTCCTCCAACAGAGCTATCGGAACACATGCCACCCTAACCACAGGGGCACCAGAATGTCAACCCAGAAGTCACGCACACCTACAGGGAGTCAGTCACCCTTTGTTGAATTATCACAGGGTCGTGACAGGCTTCAAGGTGTGATGCTCTGCCCTTCTCACGTCCAGCAGCTGCTCAGAGTGCATAAAATGGGCACACTTGTTCCACACATAGCCTTGTGGCCCAACAGAGCTGTTTTACCTAGTTCCGATGAAGCTATGTCCTGCCTTTTCCACAGTGACCAGGTCCGGTCTCTGGAGACAGCCAGTAAGAACTTGTCGTTAGGTGAGAAGGCCATCTGTGTGACAGTCAACGTGTGGAAGATTAAATTCTGGACTTGCTTCCAAGATGTAGTGTTCCAGAGAATGATAGCTGCATGCTCTCTCTTAGATGCCTGCAATACAGAGAAGAAGCCATGAACAGAGGGAAGTAAAAAAATCAAGAGACACAGGAGGAAGCTGCAAAGAAATAGAGGAAAGAAGTAGGAGGCAAAGGGCATATATACAAGCCTAAATACAGACATGTACATATGTAAATATATTTAAGATTAAGGGGGGAACAGACCTAGGTGCAATAATTATTGGTTTGGTAGTGGGGTGGCAGGTGGACATTGGGCCTCCTCATGCGTACTCCCCTAATACAAGAGCACCTTG